CTCATAACTTTCATTCTCTCAAACTCAAAACACTCGAAAGATCTTTACACTAGCTTTTAGCGTAGTGCAACCTCCTTTCTAAACTAAAGAGCTAGCTGGCTAACAGACCTTCTATACACTGAGTCTTAGCTCGTGAAAATATAACATGCATTGTCAACTTCTCCATCAACCATAAAGGTTTCTTCCAAGGGATGGACATTCCTTTAGTACTGTACCTCCTTTAGTCTGGCCTTGTCTTGGACCTCATTGCAAACCTAGAAAATCTTGTAGAAATAGACAACGTCCTCTAAATAAATCAGACAACATCCTTTAAATACTGTATAATTATAGATCAGTTGAACCCACGTTTACACCTATGGGCCCGGAGTTGAACCCACGTTTACACCTAAGGGATTGTAGTTGAACCCACATTTACACCTATGGGATAGGTGTTGAACCCACAAAAACAACCCTTTTCACTAAATCCCTTAATTAATTTTGTGGTTTGAGCAACCCACAACCCACAAAAGTGAACCCACAAAATTCTACCACCCACAAAAACGAATACAGTAGCCGAGGTTCTCGTGGGCGTGGAAGATGAATTGAACGATCGTTGGAGTACTTTGCGAAGTGGAAGCTGGCATTGACGAGCAAAACGAACGGAATCGGTATGGAGCTAATATTCCCCGTGCTGACTAACCTATGTCACGCGACCACTCTAGTATACGCTGGTATTCCCGCTCCCGTAAATAATCAGCGTGCCCCAATCTGCAGTGTCACCAAGCTGATCGTTGGTGGCTACCTATTCAGCAACCCCGCACAGTAACATTTACACCAGTTTACAGACGGTGGATTGTCTCTAGCAAAGAAAATTGTCACTATGCATATCGATCTCTAGCTAGCTAGCTAGAGCTGCCATGAATATGTAGTACCCACAACGAGCCATAAGCCGCTGCTGTACGGTACTACACGTCCTCCCACGGTTCCTGGTCTTGCACATACTGCGCATCGGTCAAAAGTCGATCGTGTGGCAAAATTTCCAAACTCGTGCGAAAGGACCTCGATGTGGACGCAAGACCCAAATTGGTGGCCCGGGACGTGTAGAGGCAGGCGTAGTTGTTGACGTAAAAGGCAAATCTCGAGTCGGTGTATCCCGCATTGAACATGGCACCCCATACGGGATGAAATGACCGATGCCAGGAATTGGTCATGGCTTTGAGGGTACTCTTGATGACCATCAAATCTTGATCCAGTTCGGCAATGACAGTGTCTTCACCATTGAGGATGTCAGTTGTCGTTGTCGTTGTCGTTGTGTGTGTACTTTGTCGTCGGAGGATATCTTCCTTGTAGACGGTCAATTCTTCCATGAGTCGTCTCAATTCGGTAATGTTGTGTGCGAGTTGCTTGGATTGACTGAATTGTAGCATTTCATCTTCCAATTCTGGCATGACAAAGCAGGATCTCCATCCCAGCGTTCGTTTGGATCGTAGCACATCGGCATAGAGATGATCTCCCACGTACAAAATTTCTTCTCCAGCATTGATTTCGAGCATGGAATGTAAATGCAACCAATTTCCCCCCTGAAATGTTTTCCCCTGCGCCAGGAATTTTTGTGCCCCATTTTCTCCCAATGCTTCAATTTCAAAGCATCCGTCCGTGTTTTGGAGTGTTCCATCGGCTGGGTTGACACGGAATAGATTGAGGTACGGGTCCAACATGTAGGCTGGTTTGCACGAACCGACAATGCTGCATGCATGCAATGGAAGCAACCAAAACAAAACAAAACAAAACAAAACAAAAGAGTGCGTGGTGAGATTGGAATATTTGTGGCCATTCACTCCATCATGTGATAATAAATACGTACGCCAGATCAAACAACTCGAGCCATTCATTTCGTGCCAAGGTTTCGTCATCGACCTTTTTCCCATGATACAAGTAATTCATGGCAGTCGAAGTATATTCCCAAAGTGAATTGGTAAGGATGAATACTTTGACACCGGCTTGTCGGTATCGTTGCAACATGGGAATAAGTCCCTTATCGAGGACAATGTATTCTTCCGGATTGCGTGCGACTTCATCCTTGATGACTCCATCACGATGACACAAGTCCACACACTCGCGGACTTGTCGGTACATTTCGGCATAAGTCTTGTAATCCAAAACTTCGTGTTCTCCCTTGTCTTTCATATCAATGAGACTGGCAAAGAGATGGGCATCGACGAATTGAAAGAGCGTGTCCATGTTGACATACGACTTCTCGGAAAAGGAGGGTACCTTGTTGAATGCTCCACTGTATAAATGTTTGCGCGTGGTACTGCTGATGCGATCAAATCCGTGATGGGCGACCCGTACGTATTTGTGTCGATCAATCTTGAGAAAATTGCCTCGTTGCGTGTCAATAATTAATCCTCGTGTCCAGTGCTATAAAAAAGAAATTGACAATGGATCAATGGAATGACTTGATGAGATATATCTTGTTCAGGCATTATCCATTGTCATTTTTTTGTTTTTTGCGTACCTCATGATTATACTCAAAATCGAGTACCTCCTCGGGGTATCCCAGTTTTTCAACCAGTTTTTGCTTGGCCCCATCAAACGCCAATTGATCAAATGCCGGTTGTTGGTACTGTGCCAGTGTGTAATCCATATCGAATCCAATGGCTTGAATGCCACTCATTTTGAGTTCGCGGTTGCAAAAGACGTCATTGGGCGTCACTTGTCGAAGGGCGGGCAAATCGGGCACGTGCCGCAGTTGGCCCTGATCCAATCCCACGGCGGAAAGTAAATCGGAAAATCGAGACTTGACGCCACTGCTGCTGCTGCTGCTGCCATTGGGAGTACTATTAATATCAATAGTAGTCACAACAGTGTCTTCTTCTTCGTCGGTACGACTCGACACTCCCAGAACAATGCTGTTGGTGGTCGTGGTGGCGACCGTGGAAAATGACGACACGGATGGAGGAGTTGTAAAGGCATCAACCACTGATAAGGACACTTCTTTCGAGTTGAGCATCCATAATGCTGACAATAGAACGCTCCTCATTGTCATCGTCTTTATCGTGGATTGGATTGGTTAGTACACTATCTACTAGCTATTCGGCAATAATGAATCTTGAGGGATGAGGCGGCAACAAAAATGAGATTGGAAGCAACAAAAATGAGATGGAAGCATGCAGCAGAATCTTTGAAAAAAAAGAACAAAATCTGGTGCCGAATCTTCTCAGGGGTGACGTCAGTCAATTCCAATGACATCAATTATTCAGGCTGCCGAAGGCATGAGCCCTCAACGAGTTTGATTTTGATTGGCAGTGGCTACATCGTAGGCAAGCCAGGCTAGCTGGCTGCAGCTGTAGACCTAGCTAGCTAGCCAGCCATCTGTTTTTCTTTTGGTAGTCTACTTCTATTAGGGTTATGGCTAAAAACTGTGACACACAAACGGACAAACGGACAAACGGACAAACGGACAAACGGACAAACGGACAAACGGACAAACGGACAAACAAAATTCACAAGGGCCCTAACCAGTTGAGGGCTATTTGCTCAATCATTTTTAAGTAGGTTATTGATGCGAATACACTAAACGATCAAATCATTTAGATCAGTCTTTTTAGACTAGATGGTGCTGGCTGTTGGGGATTCGCGATTAGGGATTCAACCTGTACCTCTGTACTAGAATTTGATGCCAGTAGTAAAAGCTGGTAGCCCACACCCACTTTTTCAATAGTATCTCAATAGCAACAGTAACTACTAGAAGAGAGCTTAGAGCAACTAACATACTATTGAAAAAGGCTGCTATCACGAATAGCAGTGGTCTACTATCGAGTCGAAGCGAAGAGGAGCCTATCGAAGCAACGGTAGCAGGAAGACGCAAGAGGAGCGAGTATCGGCCGACGCCGAACGCGACACGACGAGACCGTCGAAGCGCAAGGATCGATAGAAGATCAAGCCTGTCAAAGGATCGACAGCAACAAGAGAAGACCGTCGACAACAACGACGGCATCGGTACAAGACCGAAGAGAAGAAGCCTGTCGAAGGATCGACAGCAACCGCGGCAACGGATCCGAGGACGGATCGCGACGACGCAACGAGTGAAGAATCCGAGGACGGATTCGAAGAACAAGATCGGACGACGAGACCGTCGTGCCGATAGGAGCTGCAGTCGACGACGACGCAGCAGAGTTTCATCGGCAGAATCCACAAGGATTGCCGAGAGCCGACAGCATCCAGCCGGAACTGTCAGAGCCAACAACAAGCGCGAAAGCCATAGTGCCAGCGCAGGGGCCAAAGGACAGGCACCCAACAAGGAATCAACAATACAAAGAAACGGGTTCGGAGTGGAAACGACCGCACAGTGTGTGAAGCAATCGTTCCCTCCCTGCAAGATCTTTAGTAAATAGATTAAACACTCCCTAGCCAGGAGTATAATTTGAAGTTTATCGCCCCATAGCCATAAGACGAATAAGTAGTCGGACGAGAACTTAAAATAAAGAGCTAGTCAATCAAAAAACAACGAATTGAAATAGTCCACCTACCGTAGCATAGACAATGAGCGGTAGAGGTAAAGGACGAGGTGGCCGAGGAGGCGGCAAAGCACGAGGGCATGGAAGAACCAGCCCATCGTCGAACCAGCAGAAAGGTTCATGCAAAGCCCTCGACCAACATGTGTTTAACTTTGGTACAACTGGATCTGGAACGGCAGACCAGATGATACGCACATGGGAGAAGATCGTCATCCATGTTGGACAAACGATGGGTGACGACATGAGCAATGAGCTACGCAACCTGAAACAGACAGTGTTGGTAGCACCGGTGTACTCTACGGAGACCCAGAACAGGCTTGAAACGGCGAAGGTACGACGTGCTGCGAACAACACTCGTCTCCTAACGGCAAACCCAAGCAAGCCTACGGCTACTAGAATCAGAGATAACCGCAGTCACCAATGACCCGACTCGGTAGCCTACCACACTAACGATAGAAAAAGCAAAACTCATTAATGAAATAGCCGACCTTACGCAGCCATAGCCGACCAACCGGAAGAGGAACTCCGGGGACTCGAGAAAGCAGAGTATGGAGGGCTAATGAAGACCCACCTTACGAGGTGGCAAAACTACAAGAAAATAGAGGCAAAACTTCAACTTGATCCTAGGGCAGTGCACCCGACTATTAAAGGACAAGATGAAGCAGAACACGGACTTTGATGACGTCTGTTAAGATGCGACACACTGGAGCTACAAAAAATGATCCACAAGACGATCATGGCCCAGACCGATGATAATTTTGTGTACCCAACATTATTCCAACTGGAAAAACAACTGTTGAATTCCACCAAGGGAGCCTTACCGCTTCCGAATACCACGAGCATTTACCACGAAAAGGGACATTGCAAAACCGTGGGTATTTCCAAGCTACACGACGCAGCCTGCTGCATACGGCCAACCTACTCCACCCAGACACAGAATACGCTGACCTGGGATTCGAAGACCAGAAGACAGTCTCGGCATACGCAGAGGAACGGTACAATAGTTATATCTTCTTAAAAAATAGTTCAGCAGAAAATACCAAGCTTAAACAGAACCTGAAGGGACGACTTTTTTTGCCAAAGCAGCGATAACTATCCCCACAACGTTACATGGGAATTACACCTTTTGGAAAAACACACAAGAGTAACACCCCACGACAGTCCACTTCCCACGGAAGCTCCTTTGCTCAGACAGCACAAGGCGGGAAAGGACGGGGTGGTGGCAGAGGAAAAAGGCCGCGGAAACGCAAGCTATGAAAAAGAATATGGAAAGAAAAGAAT